TGAGAACAAACTGACCATCCCCATCACTGCAAAGATCCAGACCCTACATCTAGTAGGTAAGTAGGACATCACAGCAAACGGACACATCCTGCTACATACAGACACAACGAAAGCCAGCTACTTTGTGCTACATGCATGAATGCACAGTAAACCTGAGCAGACTGAGAAACATTTGAAACCCAAATATCTGAGTATTTGAAAATTTGTGTGTTGGACAGGCAATTGGTTTTCAGTTTTAGTCTTCAAATATTTGCCACTTCATTTTGTTGATGGAAATGGAGCACATTGTGTACATGCAAATGGTCATGAAGATCCGTTGTCTGTTGCATTAAATATTACATACTAAATTGTGAATATTTGCTGATTATTGCCACCAGATATTCCAAGCCCAAAGGCTGACATTTGGAATAGCCCTAGGATGAATAAGCAAGTAAATGGACCTTGGAATTAATTTTATTTTTTATTTTGTTCACATAACCTTATTTGACCTTATTATAAGGGTGTGGAGACATCCCACCTGGAGCTTGTGGAAGCCATATGGAACTACATGCCTCAAGTTCATATACTGGGAAAGTTTCGCAACCGTAACGGAGCTTTTCCTTCCTGCTCTGCTGAGAACAAACTGACCATCCCCATCACTGCAAAGATCCAGACCCTACATCTAGTAGGTAAGTAGGACATCACAGCAAACGGACACATCCTGCTACATTACAGCTGAAATACGGCAGCGTAAACTGAGACACGCTGCAGACTTGCATCCAAGTGGATGTTTATCAGAAATAAACAGGTCTGACTGTTCTTGCTGGCTCAGACATCCGTTAGGGGACCTTGCTGTGTCACTTAGTTTTAAAAATACCACATCTCTATTGATGTACTTCACATAGCGTTTGTCTTCTGTAGGTGTGAATGTTCCAGAGATCCCCTGTGTGTCCATGTTGCGCCACCTTTACCTGAAGTGGGTCCGTCTCACCAAACCACAGCCGTTTAAAGACTTTCTATGTGTGAGCCTGAGAACCTTTGTCATGCGGAACTGTGCTGGGCCAACAAACTCCCTCAAGTATGTTCCCTTGGTTACTGGTTTAGCATCAGCCCGGAACTTGGAGCAGCTGGAGTTGGTGAGAGTCCCCTTCCTGGGAGGACTGATCCAACATGTGGTTGAGGACAGCTGGAGGTCAGGTGAGGGGAACATCTCACTGGTATTTCATTGAAGTGACTCTGTATGTTAACACTACATGTGGTGTACATTTCTTTATGGCACAATATTAAAATAGTTGAAGTCATAGTCAACTAGGATTTATGTTGGTTCAGACTAATTTATATTGTTTATTGTAGCTTCTATTTTTATTCACATTTTCACACCATATTTAACCTTTTTTTTGCTGTATTACTCGGTCATTTTCCACTGTTAATGTATTTGGTCTGATGATTTGCATCTTCCTACGACCAACTGGGATTTCAAATAGCTGAAATACTGACAAATGCACAAATAGCTGACACCTTAGATTAAAATTTACTAAGTTGTCTGTTCTCTGTTGTGCTGTTTGTGTATCTCCAGGAGGATTTCGGAACCTTCACACCATTGTGTTTGGTGCTTGTAAGAATGCCCTAGAAGTGGACTTGGGCTACCTCATCATCACCGCTGCTCGCAGGTGCTCAGCCAATCAATTCTTTAAACTGACTGAAAGAAAAATACTGTTCATATACAGCTTATGTTTTTACAGCAAAATGCAAACATTTTTATATCTTGTGGGCAAATCTGTGAGTTACTGTTAAGTCACTTCCATCTTGCAAAGTGATCTGTAACTAAGTGAAATCGAGAATATTCAGAGTAATAGTGACGCTCACAGTGTTTGAGACTGTTGACCCACCCACTTTTATGCTGAAGTATCTCATATGCACTATGTTGTCAGTACGGCAAATATATATGGGAATTGCAGAAAGCAGAATGTGTTTGAATGATTTAATAGCGACAAACATAAGTTCAAACTACACGATTTTCTAACATCATTTTTGTGTGCTTAACAGGCTTCATGAACTGCGTATCCAGCCTTCACTGACAAAAGATGGAGTCTTCTCAGCTCTGAAAATGGCTGAACTAGAGTTTCCTCAGTTTGAGACCCTTCATCTGGGATATGTGGATGAGTTCCTGCTGCAATGTTAGTGCCTTCTTTCACATATCACCAGGATCATGGTGCACTTTTAATTTCCTCATGACTTTCCTGTTTTCTTCAGCAGGGACAGGGAAGATGGTTCAAATTGATGGGAAGATGGATGGAGCCAAATACAGGACCATTTTGGAAGGAAACCTGATGGAGTCTGCAAAAGACCTGAGACTGGGACGGAGATTTGTCTTCCAACAAGACAATGATCCAAAACATAAAGCAAAATCTACAATGGAATGGTTCACAAATAAACATATCCAGGTGTTAGAATGGCCAAGTCAAAGTCCAGACCTGAATCCAATTGAGAATCTGTGGAAAGAACTGAAAACTGCTGTTCACAAACGCTCTCTATCCAACCTCACTGAGCTCGAGCTGTTTTGCAAGGAGGAATGGGCAAAAATTTCCGTCTCTCGATGTGCAAAACTGATAGAGACATACCCCAAGTGACTTACAGCTGTAATCGCAGCAAAAGGTGGCGCTACAAAGTATTAACTTAAGGGGGCTGAATAATTTTGCACGCCCAATTTTTCAGTTTTTTATTTGTTAAAAAAGTTTGACATATCCAATAAATTTCGTTCCACTTCATGATTGTGTCCCACTTGTTGTTGATTCTTCACAAAAAATTACAGTTTTATATCTTTATGTTTGAAGCCTGAAATGTGGCAAAAGGTCGCAAAGTTCAAGGGGGCCGAATACTTTCGCAAGGCACTGTATCTCTAAATAAAATCTGGACCCAACTTGATCCGTTAACAATGAGACCCATGACCCGACTCATACCCATAGTTATATTAGACTACACAGTCACTCACCTTGAAGTACTTGAGAGTTGTGTTCTTGGAAAAGTGTCTGCCACTTGACGCAGCACCTGCAGCTGTGTTTGTTTTTCAAATGCTACTTTTTTGCACTATTTACAAGTTGTAAAGCCTCAGAAAAAGTTGTTCTCACAGTCTGTAATCACACTAAATATCTCCCATATGGCTGATTTGGCCTTCAATGATATATTGTCCACAATTTTGTATTCACCACTTGCTATTTTTACCCGTTTTGATCCACTGATGCCTAGCTTATGTTGAAGTCTGAGTGACACCCTATTAGCTGGATGTGAATGGAGGTTGTTCCATAGGCCTCCACAATAAATGTGTGCCTTGTTTAGGCATTGATAAAATAATGCTGGGCTAGATGTTTAAAAGAAGCTGCACCTTTATTTTTAAAATTTTTATTATTTCACCCACAATTTAGTCCACAATTATGGCCACATTTAGTCTGTTGTTACCCATGCCTGTACCTGTGAATTAATATAAACATGTATATACTTTTTAACATGTTACACATCATTTTTGCGGGTTACTCAACCCGTGCATGATGCTGCCCTGTGGTTATTTATGTGTCTCCCTACCTTTCTGTCTATAATCAAGGTGCTGCTCATTAAAGAGTAACTTAACCCCAAAACCACTTTTTCCAACTGATAACCAATGTATATGGCTATTTAGTTGTTGATTTAATTCAGGTCCAAATCTTGACATTTTAGTGAAAAGTATTTTAATTCTTTGAATTTTGTTATAAATATTCTTAGGGACTGCCCTCTACTGGTTGAAACCCAGCTACTGTCGCTGATCGTAATGGCAGCTGACCTGTCTCCATGCCCCCTCTTAAAAAAATTCACATCTCCTGATGCAGTCAGACTGTGAAGAGATGTGTGGATTGAGTATAGCAAGAGCAGTTGACTGCTGGCATAGATTATTGTTATACAGAAAGAAATGGCTCCTGCAAGGTTATTTTGCATTGCTAAAGATACTTTGATGGCTAACTGAAGGTGCTGATGTGTCACATTCCTGCAAGGTCTAAATCCATGTGTGCCTGCTATCTAAAGCCGAGCAGACACTGTACAACTCGTATACAGTGCGTTACCTCACTATAAGTTTTAATCGCTGCAGATCATCAACGCTTTGATGACACATTGTACAGTGTAGCGCTGCCAGAGCTCGATTAGCCTCGTCCATATACGGTGTATAAATATACTATATGCAGTCTATAGCCTTGTTCAGTTGACTCTGTCCACAAATTGTGGTATCTGGTCTGCTCCATGTTGTTGTGTTGTCTTTGTACTCACGCAAGTGCACTGAACTAACTACGGACCGTGAACCTGCAACACAGCTGACCAGATTTCTGACATGTCACTCAGTTGCATTTTTGTGCTGGCAGAGCAGAACATTATAGAATGAAGGTGCTTAATTAGCTCGACTGCTAAAGGAGCAAATGAATAAGAGTTGTGCTTACACAAGGGGATCCTGTACCTCCTTCCAGAATTCAGTAACCTGATTTCAAAATTGAACACATGAAATGGGTGAGAACAAGAGCCTGCCGGCTTTAAAAGACTGTTCAGAAGTATCTTACAGAGTATGGGGTGCAGGTTCTCCTATAATTTTCCATGCCATTTTAGCAAATCGAAGAATTTGAGCTCAAAAGTTTAAATGTGGCCATTTTTATCTTTCCACAAATTACAGCAGTGTTTAAAAATCTCAAGTCTGCATTAAAAATTAAAACTTTTCTGAAACCTGAGTCCAGTTGTGTGGACCCATGTTATGTTTGGTTTAAAGGTTTTTGAAAATGTCCTGTCTTTTTAAATGCAGGTAAAATGACTCACTCTGAGCTGGTTAAGTACGGTCTGGCTGACGTCATTGAGAACCCAGGCATCATCACTGATATTGGCATGAAGGTGGTGAACGAAGTGTTCACTAATATTAAATACCTGCTCATCTACAACTGTCCTCACTTGCATAACCCTCATCACTGGATCACAGGTAAAACGTTTGACTCTCAAAGTGCCTCAGCAATATCTGCCTAACTTTAGTCAACCATGATCTCAATATTGATGTGTATGTATGTATGTATGTATGTATATGCACGTTCTCCCACTTAGAAATCATGGAGGGGTCTGAAATTCACATTGTAGGTGCAATCCCACTCTGAGAGACAGAATAAAAAAAAAATTCAGGAAATCACATTGTATGATTTTTAAAGAACTTATTTGTCTTGCACTGCTGAACATAAGTATTTGAACACCTGAGAAAATCAGTGTTAATATTTGGTACAGAAACCTTTGTTTGCAATTACAGAGGTCAAACATTTCCTGTAGTTCTTGACCAGGTTTGCACACACTGCAACAGGGATTTTGGCCCACTCCTCCACACAGATCTCCTCTAGATCTGTCAGGTTTCGGGGCTGTCACTGAGCAACGTGGAGTTTAAGCTTTTGACAGCTCTTTTGGTCTTGCCCATGGTAGTAGTTGGCGTCTTTAAAGAGCTCAGACAGGTGCTACTAATTTAGATTAATGAGTGGAGTAGAGGTGGACTTTTTCAAGGCACAGTAACAGGTCTTTGAGAGCCAGAATTCTTGCTGTTTCTCAGGTGTTCAAATACTTATGTTCAGCAGTGCAAGACAAATAAATTCTTTAAAAATCATACAATGTCATTTCCTGAAATTTTTTTTAAATTCTTTCTCTCAGAGTGGGAATGCACCTACAATGTGAATTTCAGACCCCTCCATGATTTCTAAGTGGGAGAACTTGCAAAATTGCAGGGTGTTCAAATACTTCTGTTCCTCACTGTATATATATTTGTAGAATGCTCAGTCTGTCTCTGTTGTTAAAGGGGTTCTGCATATAAGCAGAGCCTTCATTTTGTTGTGGTTTTTCCATCTTTGTCTTGCAATCCTTCAAAAGTGAAGTGCTGTACTGCTTGGTGAAGCCATTATAATTCTGCCCTTTTCTGTCATCAGAGCAGTCCAGGTGGAGCCGCCTCGTTGATCTCACTCTTGTTCGCTGCCATGCTATCAAACTGGAATCCTTCTCCCAGTTCATAGAGTTACTGCCCAGTCTGGAGTTTATCTGTCTAGACCAGATGTTTAGAGAACCACCCAAGGTATACTGTGTATTCGTAAATCTACACACACACACACAGTTGTGCTGTATGCTTTGTAGGCATAACATCTTGAAAGTTCACTTGCTTGCATTTGGTCTTTTTTTTTAAACTTTTTGTAGGAGTTGAACGGTGGTGTTTGAAATGTTTCCAGTATTTGGGAGAGCTGATGGAGCAGCTCTCCCAACTTTTGTTATCTTACTTCTATAAACTTTTGACCACATTATTATTTCACCCTTTGCCAGCTACTTGATACTTTGGGTTAGGGACTTCATTTAAATTTTAAAACATAGTTTTTCTTTGGGAGATTTATACTAGTGCTGGATGAACTGTGGCTTTCTGAAGCACTGAATTAATATTTAGCAGGTGTGTTGAAAATTGTTCACAGTTTGGAAGCATTTGACAGTTAAATGGCGCCATCTGCTGGCCAAACCCCTGATACTGCATTATGGGGGCATAAATCTGGCATACAGAAACAGAATATCAGAGGTCTTAATGCTTTTATTAATGTTATTTTGTTCAATAAAGCGAGTATTGTGAAAACAGATCACATTTAAACTGATTTTACAATTCTGGTTTTCAATAATTTTTAAATACATTTAGTATTCAAAACCATCATGACACGTCACTGACATGACATTAACGAAGTGGTGAAGCGAGGCATCAGCTCTTTCATAAACAATTTATACAGGAAAAACATAGAAGAGATGGTCAGAATTTACTTACTGAAAACAACTAAAGACAGGAAAAGCCTACTTCAGGCACTCATTGACTGGTGTACAGAGGCAAAATTACAATACTTGTCCTCATCCAAATACTTACAGACCTGACTGTGTGTGTGTGTGTGTGTGTGTGTGTGTGTGTTAGGGTTGTGCCAGGGTGGGTCTGAGTGCAGGAACTGGTATTGGTGTGTCCTCAGCACTAGTTAGCAACCAGAACTCCAACAATGACAATGACAACAACAACCACCACAACAATAATGAGGCCAACCTGCCCCCTGCTCCTCCACCTGTAGTCAACAATAACCAAAGGCGGCAGCAGCAGCAGCACAATGGCAAGTCCCGCTCACCATCAGCAAGACATTATTGTTTTTTGTTCAGTTGGGAAAGATCTGTCAACGGTTTCTTTAGAAATCCTATTAATAGACAGATGGAAACAGAAACAACCTACTCAGTGAAAGTAACTTAGGAAGTTTTGTTTGGTTTCACAGCACCAATGGAGATGAATGGAATGGGGAATGGGGAGGAAGAGGAGGAAGAGTTGATTTTGGAGGAGGAGAGCATTGAGGTTGAGCCTCAGGTAGAGCTGAAAACACCAGAAGGGGATGAGAAAGTGGAAGAAGCTGGCGTGGCTCCAGGGCCCAGTCATACAGCTGGAACACAGCGACCCCCAGATGAGGAGCAAGCAGGTTTGGAGCTGCTCCTTTTTATAACTAGCAGATATAAACACAACAGTTTTCCTGTCCTACACTTTTGCTCACCTATTTTTTTTTTTTTATACATTTAAAGGGTTATTAATTTTTGTTGACATGTCCTTTGCACTTCCAGGACCTAGTGGTTTAGTCCAGCAGTTTAGACCAGCTGGTGCTATTGTTCCCAAGCCCCCACTGGCCACCTCAGACTCGGACAGTGAGGAAGAGGAAGGCCTCGTTTCAAGACTAATGCCAACATCCTCACTGCAGCAGCCAGCTTCTCATATAGAAGGTGTCAGCACAACACAGAACATACCCAGCAGTCATACCTGTTGCCAGATGTGTATCCACTTGAAACGTACATTTAAACCAAGTTGGGATAATTAACAAAAGACAGAGACAAGTCAATGTACTTTTCCATCCAGTAATTTTATGTGAATATCAGTTGAAGTAAACCGCTGGTGGAGGTAATTCTCCAGTCGGTGCCGTTAAAATTATTGCAGAAAAACACATCACAAGATGTGGTTATTAAAAAATGCCATTGAACAAGCATTGGTGGAACACCTAGGGACGCCTACAGAAAGGTACAGGGAGAAAGGACTGAGAGGGGATAGTACAAACTATGGGAGACAGAAGTCAAAGATGGTGACAGGCAATGATGTCAGAAATGTATGAAGAGAGAAGAGGGTTTATTCCAAATAAACCTATCCTAGAATGCACATCAAATGATTTCATAGACACCATTACATGGGCACAGTTCAGGCCACCCTGTTGTCTAAGGGATTTTTTTTTTCTATTAAAAAAACTTACCAAAACGTGTCAAGCAGATTAACGCTCGCCATGGGTTTTGCCCTCTACATGCTTTGGAGGTGCTTTCCAGGAGTTAAATCTTACTACCCTCAGGAGGTAGTATTAAAATTAAAAGTTCCAGCAACTTGAGGGGAGAGGGGGTGCTGCTTGGTCAACAGCTGTTTGATAAATTGCTCATTCAGTCTCTCTTACTGGCTGATTGTTGCACTGTGGAGTGCTCTCCCTCTGTTCTCCCTCTGCTCAGTCAACTGTGTGTGTGGGAGGGGCACAGCCCTTCCTCCTCTATTCAGAGACAGACAGAAAATATAGTGGAAAAACAAAGCAGGACGGTTCACATCATCCCAGGAGGTTCTGCAGGAGTGAAATATGAGTTGTACTATACACCGGCACCGGAGCTGTACATCCGCCATTTTGGACTGAAACTGACTATCAAATGTAGGGACGAACCTATTAACACCAGTAAAATGTACAACAATAAAACCGTTTTCTCTGGTGTTGTATCTCTAATGAATGAAAAATATAAATATATAAACTATTGCATTTATTAAGATATTCAATTTATGAAAGTGAGAAGGCTGCATCACATTTCAGTTCTTCATGTCTATAGATATGTATTGTATGTACTACTTTGAGTTCCATCTCAAAACCTGACTTGTACTCTTTTATACTTAAGCTGAAATATTTTTGTTTAAACATCTTTCTGATTTTTCTAAAAGCATTTTCAGTTTGATTTTGATATTTATTCAGTATATAGGTATACATATTTGATAGTCTCTTGAACAAGGGTGAAAACGTGTGCCGCAGACCCTGTCGAACCCGAAATGGGAGCTGGTTCCACAGGAGCGGAGCTTGATAGCTAAAGGCTCTGCCTCCCATTCTACGTCTGTGGACTCTAGGAACCACAAGTAAACCTGCACTCTGAGAGCGAAGTGCTCTGTTAGAATGATAAGGCTCTACGAGGTCTTTAAGGTACGATGGAGCCTTGTCATTAAGGGCTTTGTATGTTAGGAGAAAGATTTTAAATTCTATTCTAGATTTTACAGGGAGCCAGTGGAGAGAAGCTAATATGGGAGAGATATGATCTCTCTTGCTAGTTTCTGTCAGTACTGTGGCTGCAGCATTTTGGATTAACTGGAGGCTTTTTAGGGAACTATTGGGACATCCTGATAGTAAAGAGTTACAGTAGTCCAACCTGGAAGTAACAAATGCATGGACCAGTTTTTCAGCATCACTTTGAGACAGCATGCTCCTGATTTTGGCAACACTGCGCAAGTGAAAGAAAACTGTTCTAGAGACTTGGATTATGTGGGATTTAGTGGGAACACACAAAACAAAGTCAGTTTCACTTTGGTATGATTTATGATCACTTAAATTTAAAGAGCTTATAAATCATGAGCTTGGTTTACTAGGCTTTTTTAAAACTTTTAATAAGTCAAAATTAAATTTATTCTTTAAAATTATTTCTGGACAAGGAATAAATGGAAGTGAGTAGAGAGGTTAAGGCCCATGTAACATGACTGTATGTGTGTTTTTCTAGGTAAAGGAAAGGCTCCTCTGCGGCGGAGCAACAATGTCGCTGAGTCTGTGACATCCTCAGTGGATCAGACAAAGGCTCAGGTGTCAGACAGCAGTTGTGAAAAGAGCTGTCAGGTGACCAGTGAACAGATCAAAGCAGACATGAAGGCTGCTGCTGAGAACAGCAGGAGGTCTACCAGTAAAGGAATTATTACTGATGCTGGGGAGACCACTGCGAGGACAGAGGCTGACAGTGGGACAGTACGGGGCAGTGGGAAGGCTGGGGCAGCAGGAAGGACCAGCATGAGGCCAGTGACTGGATCTGTATGCAGGAATGAACCTGCAGCAGGTCCAGCAACCACTGACAGAGCTACAGGAACTGGCTGGACTAATGACAGCACAGAGGGCCCTAGAGGACAGCAAGGGGGCGGTCGCACAAAGGAAGCTGGGTTGAGGCAGCGCTCTGGTACTGCTGGAGTGGACAGTCTGGAGCCCAGAGATGCTGCTGTAAACCATGCTCCCAGGAGACCTGCACTGCTGGAACAGGAAGACAGACATCCTGCACCTCCTAGCTCTGCCTCTGCTGCTGGTTCAGGTTCACAACAGGTTCAGGCCAGAGATGAGGACTTTGTTCCTAGACGACCTTTGACCCGATCTTGCTCTCGTATGTCCTTTGCATCACTGGTACCTGAGACAGGTAAGACTGAAGTTACAAACAGAGAACGTATTTAATGTATCCACTAACCATGCCCATAAATAAAGCTGTTTGTTTAGTTGCAAAGGCTTGAACTACAGAAGCTCAGCTACTGAACATGCAGTTCTCTTTTTATTATTATTATTATTAATTTTAAGGACATGTAAACATAAACCAGTTTCCCTCACCATCTCAACATGCAAATCTTTTTAAAGTGTATGTAGTTCTTGTGTATGTGTTTTACCATGGGTTGGATACACATACATGCAAGTGTAGCCAGTAATTCCCTCTCTGTCTAGTATTTGTCTGGGTTTTGGACTGTAGTTTTCCCTTTTCCAGACTGTTTCTGTGGGCTACCTCTGTTTGTTCTTTGCACACCAAGCTCTTCCTATGCCTGAGTGAACATTCACCTGGTATAGACATGAACACGAGCTTCCCACAGTGTGCATGCGAGATGTTATGTACTGCACACAGTATGCTTTTGGTGTAGACACAATAATCATGCTTTTGTCCAGTGGTGCTACGACAGCACCACCTTTTTTAATGCAGCGTTATTAAAAAGTCGAACAGGTAAATTTAAATTCACCTGGTTGCACAAACTGTGTTCACACACAGACACAAAGTCGTAGTAGTATCTGCCCTGTAATGAATCTGTAGTTCTGAGTGTTGTCCAGTTCCCAGTTATTTTTTTATTCCTATCATAAGATAATAAACTTGATATTTTGGAGCCAGGACCTGAACCAGTATTTGGATCAAGAAGCTCCTGGAAAAATACAGTTTGCCAAATTCATTTAAATTTCAATGTCAGATTTTTAATGAATGTTTACTGGATCAGGACTTCCCCAGATTAAAATTGGTTTTTTTTTTTTTTTTTTAGCACTAAAGTTTCTACTCAAATAGAGAGGCAACTGTGCAGGTATCACATGCACGTACTCTGCCCCCACTACAGGCTTCATGTGAAACCTGTGGAGGAAGTGGGTGAAGAAAATTCAAGACACAAGTTTGACTCTGCTGCTAACCATATTGAAAATGACCTTGGTACCTGAATGCTCCCATCTCTCAGCGTGAGATGAGGGCATTGTGCTTGATAATCTTTCTGAATGTGTGTTTCCACCTGCCTAATCTTGTACGAGTCCCCCTCACGCCACCAAGAACAGCTCTTACTCCATAAGACCACTGAAGGGGTCCTCATCCCACAAGTGTTCAACTGGATTGAAATCTTGGGATTTTGGAGGCCAAGGCAACATCTTGGACTCTTTGTCATGTTCCTAAAACCATTTCTGAACAATTTTTGCAGTTTGGCAGAACTTATTATCCTGCTGCAAGAAGCTACTGTTGAATAACTAGAGAATACCATTGCCATGAAGAGAGAGGTGTACTTGGTCTGCACAATATTTAGGTCAGTGTTGCGTGTCAGAGTAACACCCACATGAATGCCAGGACCCAAGGTTTCCCAGCAAAACATTGCCCCGAGCACCTCACTGCTGCCTCCGGCTTGCCTTCTTCCCATAGGGAAGTCTGACAGTCCAGCCCACCCTCTTCCATTGTTCCATGTTCTATTTCTGATGCTGAAATGCCCATTGTAGCCATTTTTGTTGGTATCATTATCAGTTGGTTTAGTCATTTAACATGGTCAAAAAACATGCAGTAGCTGATGCTATTTCAATAAATGAACATGAACTGTGTCAGTAGCAATGCCATCCATTAAGGCAACAAAACTAAGACTATACTTCTGTTGAATGAATTGTTGAAATACTGTAAGTTGCTCCTTTTTTATTTTTTTTCCTTTGTCCATCACAGATAGGTTAAAATAATGCTGTATGCTTTATTGCCTACATGTGTTGAAATCCACCTGTATCTGGCCTGTTTGTTCACACAGTTAAATCTGAGCTTTTGTATTGTGTAAGATGACATTTCAGCTGTTCATTTTGTGCAGATCTTTCAAGAGCCAGGCCTCGAGTAGCAGTAAGGAGGAAACGAATGGCTGACAAATCAACCAGCACCTCAGATCCAGTCACTGAGGATGACCACGTACAGGTATAGTCTGTAGACACCTGTTTTCACTCTACCATTAAAGTCACCTCTTATTAGTGGTAAAGTGTCATTTATTCAGTGTTGTGTAAAGTCCAAGCAGAGGAGGTGAATACCATTGCATGCACTGTACACACAGTATACAAAAAAGTCACATAATAAGTGTGATTTTTATAAAGTAAAACATTGTTGGGGCTTTCCTCCCCCAGGCGCCGGCAGTGTTTTGCAGGTGGGGCTTGGAGAGACAAACTTGTTTGTCATATGAACAATGGGAAAACAAACCAACATAATAGTAGCTATCAGTCTTGGGTTAGCTGGCTCAGTTGAAAAAGTTAATTTTAATAACTATAGAACAGCAACCACCTTACCCTGCTGAGCCACTCTGGAACTCCCTCATGGTGACCTGTTCTTGCTCTAATGCTGGTGGCTCGGAGTGGACACACTGCCAGTACCCTCCCTGCCTTCATTATTTATTTATTTACACCCTGTTTTTTCTATTTTCCCACAGCTACTCATAGCTCACTGCCTTGTTCCTTCCGTTGTCCTTTACCTATTTATTTTCAGGCTAAACAGAATCAAACTTTTCCACACACCACATGGAAACCACCTGTACCTTCATTATATGTACTTATCCCTTTGTTCTTTTGTAAATGTCCTGTATTCATTGTTCTGCTAATGCCTTATGTTTTGTTTTGCAAAAAAGAGTCTAAAAAGGGGCTATCTGTTTTCACATTGGTGAATGGGTGTTGGAAATCCTTACTTGCGACATTTAGTGGTTCAGTAAAAATCTTTTCAGTTAAACTGCATTTTATGTTTGCTGATAGATTTTTTTTTCTATTAAATTTTGTCTGAAGATCTGAAACCATTTAGTATGATAAATATATGTATTTATAAAAATTTGTGAAATTAGCAAATACGTTTTGTTCTTTACAACACTGTATATTGAATATACTATACTTTGAGTATAATTTACATACTGAGATGCTTTTGCTTTGTAGGTTTTGTCTCTGAAGAGTAAGAACTTGGTGGGCATCACTCTGACCAACTGTGGAATCACTGACTTGGTCCTCCAAGACTGCCCCAAGATGATGTTTATTCATGGTAACATGCAGATGAGAACATTGATATATGATTACTCGTACTCATGTTTTTCTCATTATATAACTAAAGTCTACTGAAAACCTCTTCATGAAAAAATGGCAGGTTAATAAGCAAACAAATGTAGTGATTGATAAGTCCCATCAGTAAAATTAGAAAAGTTTTGCATCATAGTGCACCCTTTTAACAGATCTAAAACTCTGAAGCCTGATGGTGACCCCAGTTTAGCTTTGGAACTAGTCCATCAGCTGTAATATATGGATGCCAATGACATCTCCTGGAAGTGAAGCCACCATGACCTGATCACCTCCTGGTGCCTGGTTACGGTATAAGTTATAAATCCTGCCTCCTCCATGTTAGGTAGGTAGGTTAGTGGACAGAACATGAGCCAAACCCAAAAAACTCCACATACAAATGAGGTCACTACTATGTTTTTATGCCTCCGCGCTGGCAGTAGCAATGGCTGGAGGCATTATGTTTTTGGGTTGCCTGTCAGTACGTCCATCACTTTGTATTATTTCTATGAACAAGATATCACAGGAATACCTGGAGGGAATTTCTTAAGATTTTGCACGTGTCCATTTAGATTACATTTTGGTGGTCAAAGGTCAAGGTGACTATGAGCTCGCATTTGTCCCATGCCTGTGAATTTGACTGGTTGGTGGAAGCATACGGCTATGGAACAGTAATTCTAGTTTGATAGATATTATCACACTGTGTGTACAAGTGGTCATTCTTATGGCAAATTTGTTTTTAATAGGTTATTTGATAATATAAAAAGGTGTATTTCAGTTGATTTGACCACTTTGATTGGCTGTCCGACACTGTCACTCCACTTCTGGTCACTACTGCAAAGAGTCTGGTTGTTAAAAAGCAACACGGCAGCCTTCATGTTCATGATATTCCGGCTTCATATTTGCATGGTGGAGGGAAGCAGTCCTCTGTTATTGGCATTTTATATATTTATGATAAAGCTTTAGCTCCAGTGCCATTGATTGTTCTTGACTGAGTGCTGTTGTCTTCTAGCCAAAAAATAAAATAAAAACCCTTTTATTGGAGAATGTTGCACATTATGTTTCCGAATCAATTAACAAAGTTAGAAATGTAGAAATGCCACATCACCCAATGTACTGTAAGAGAACTGTCAATATCAACAGCTCAGTGTAGCAGACATTTTTATATTTATAACGTGATAGTCTAAAATACTCAAAACTGGCCAAGCATGTCATTATCCTGCTTCAGTACAGGACTTTTTGTAAGAGTAATATACTCCTTTAAATAAATCCTGTTTTAAATGCCCCATCCCACTCTTGAGTTTCACAGACATAATTCCCATCGCTTTATGGTGTTTTATTTTTATTCTGAGTCAGGGAGAGAACATTTATTAACACACTGCTTTGTCTAATTGCAGCCACCAGATGTCGAGTGTTGAAGCACCTGAAAGTTGAAAACGCCCCCATACTGAACAGGTTTGATTATGCTCAGTGTAAGAAGCTGGACATGGAACAGGTTTTGGATCAGATCCTGAGAATGCCCCCTGAGAGGAACCGCATCATCTACATGCGCCCTATGCACCAGGTTGTTAAATCCGTGATGTCATCTCCTTTCCCGTAGGAATTCAGTTTGTCTCCCTGTGAAGAATTTTATTTAAACATAAGTAGTAAACCTTTTTGCTCTTTTTAATTTGTAGCTGACTTGCAACAAAATAGGATAACACCTCCTTTATACATAGTGCAAATAGGCAACATTTTTCATGCTTTTCGTAATGTGAAAGTCGTTCTCTTTGCACTCACTTGACACTCCATCTCATTTCTTGTCTCTCTCCTGTCTTCAGATTGATTCAGTAGCATTGGAGCATCAGCTCTTCCAGGGGCCCTATCCCTACCACATTGCTATAGTGCATGAGTTCAGCAATCCTCCAAATATACGGAACAAGGTTCGCATTCGCAGCTGGATGGACACCATAGCCAACATCAGCCAGTGAGTATTTTCTCATAGAATAGCTTTTTTTTTTTTCTCCTCAAATATTGTTCAGACAGTATTTACACACTCCACTCCTGTTAATAATGGGAATCTGACAGACCCCAGCTCTTGGTGGGCGGCCTTCTGCCTTGACTGGTTGGGGCGAGTGGATAGAGGAGAGAGAGAGAGAGAGAGAAAAGCATCAGAACATAATAAACTTAAAGAACAAATAAATATTGGGCAGGTTAATGTGGCCGGTGACTGCTCATCAGAGACACAGAGCCCTGGAACTAGAGCTATATGCAGAAAGATCCAGGGAGAGATAGAGAGGACACACTATGGGAGAGAGAGGAGACATACAGTGATGTGTAATGATGCCGTATAAAAATAAAATGGGGAGGGGAAGAGGAGAGGAGCTTAGAGCATCATGGGAAGACCCCCAGTCTAGGCCTGTAACTAAGGGTTGGAACACCAAACCAACCCTATCCTGGAATACACGTCCAATAATTTCAGATACCTCTACACTGCTGACTAAAAAACACTGATGTGGTTGAATGTACTCGGTGGCAAGAGGACAGCACGGGCCCCGTTTGCTTGCGGTTACTAAGATTTTTGGTCAGTCCCTCTAGTATTATATCAGAAATATTAATAACTGTTAATAGAACAACAATTCAACCTAACTATAAGCTTTATCAAAAAGGAAAGTCTCAAATTTAATCTTAAAGGTAGAGAGGGTGCCTGCCAAACTGAGACTGGGAACTTGTTCCACAGGAGAGGAGCTTGATAGCTAAAGGCTCTGCATCCCATTCTACTTCTGAGGACTCTAGGAACCACAAGTAGACTTGCACTCTGAGAGCGAAGTGCTCTGTTGGGATGATAAGGCTCTATGAGGTCTTTAAGATATGATGGAGCCTTGTCATTAAGGGCTTTGTATGTTAGGAGAAGGATTTAAAATAAAGATTTTCTGGGCCGATAACGATTTAATTGACAGTATACACAAACATTTTAATAACTTTTATTTAATGAACAATTAAATTGTAATGAAAATAAAGCATCTGATTTAATTCATCTGGGTTCATAGATAAATATAACCGAGTATCATCTCCACAGCAATGGAAGTTTTTGCCATTTCTTCATAATGATACCCAAGGAAAGCATGTATAATATGAAGAGAATTGGACCTAGCATACAACCGCTTGGAACTCGTGACTAACATTTGTGTGCTTAGAAGATTCATTTGTTAACATGAGCAAATTGGAGTCTACCTGATAGATAAGATTTGACCCACCTTAGTGGGGAATCCAAGAATCTTTTCATTGTTCTGCCCTGCAGTCGTATCTTGATACGCACATTAATTTCACCCATCTACTGGAAAGCAGTGGAGCTGGATAATGTATGATGCCTAGGCTCATTTGCATATACACTGCTCAAAAAAATAAAGGGAACACAAAAATAAGACATTCAACTATGTTGTTCCCTTTATTTGAGCAGTATATTTGAATATGAAAGACAAAAATCAAACTTGTTTTAGGCCCTTTTCAGAGGTTTCTTGAGCTTGTTATATAGAAAAACTCAATCTATACCTTTTTCTGGAGGAGATATTTCAAACTTCTTACACTGTCATTGAGCAAGTATGAGGCCAAATATTGGTTTCAACATGATCTGTGACTCATGAGTAATAAATGTCTTGGTTTCAATGTCTTTGCTTCTTCCCTAGAGAGTTGATCAAGTATGAGTTCTTTCCAGAGGCCACTAGGACTGAAGAGGATGTCAAGAATTATCCCAGATATCCTTGGGGCCGGGACATATATACACTGGAGGGTAATCCACCTACATTAACTCCTCCCCCAATTCTAGTTTAGACATGCACATATCAACCACACATTGTTTTGTTTTGTAGTCATCTTCAGATCATCTATGGTGCACTCTGTGGAGCAGGACAGTGTTGAATTTGAATTGAACACATTTGAAAAGGAACCATCCCACCTAGTATAGTCAGAGTCTGCAGCCCTCTGGTGGTAACATTAGTTCAAACCCCCGCAGCAGTTGCACATTGCCTTTTTGGCATTACATGCTATATAAGGGCTAAAAGAAAAAATCAATTTTTACAAAGCACATACAAAAGTCAAAGGACAAACATTAAGGAAATGTGTAGCAAATCCAATCCAGTTGCAATTCCCTTGTTCTTCAAACCTCACTCAACCCGGAAATCATTCTGGTTCACCATTTTGAAGGACGTCCTAAAGTTCTTAATCTTTCTCTGAGGACCAAAGAGGCTGTCTGGAGGACCCATGAGCAGCAATACGCCAGGGCATTCTTTGTGGAAGCCCTTTATCGTAAATAAGTCGGTGATTGGATGCTTCAAATGAAGAATGAGAGGGAAGGACATCTTATGTCATGTTACCTCAGTTTCTTTCTCCTTGCATGTTAACATGTGGGTTGGATGCAAGTGAGGGAAATGTCAGTACAATTAAGGGAATTGGGTTTTACCTACATAGTCTCATGGCAATGCCAGAAATGTCTACATTGATGCTACCTACCCATATCAACTCCTCACTCCCCCTAGTATCCTGGAGCATTTCTGGTGTAGCTATTCCCTCTTGCAGTGTTTTCTCTCAGCATGACTGACTTTTGTATGTGTTTGGGTTAGCATCATGCTTCCTTAATGTTTTCATATTTGCAGTGTTTCCTTAATGCTTGTTTTGACTTTTGTTTGTGCTTTGTCCCTAGGGGCCACAGTACATGAGCCATCAAATCCTAATCCTTAAAGTGAATTATCCTTTCTCATGTTATTGTTCAGGAGTGGTGGATGGTGCTCCCTACAGCATGATAACAGACTTCCCCTGGTTGAGGACTCTGAGAGCAGCTGATCCCAACAGCTATGCCCGCTATGATTTTGAGGATGATGAAAGCAGTGAGTGCAGTCATTATGTTCATCTGTCAGCAGTCACTCTACATAGTTATTACAGTTGCCTGCCTGATCCTATAAACACTAGAAATGTTTTTGTCTGTGTTGTGTTGTGTGTTAGCCACCATCTATGCTCCTCGGCGTAAAGGCCAGCTGTCAGCTGACATCTGTATGGAGACCATTGGGGAGGAAATCTCAGAGCGCAGACAGAGCAAAAGAGGAGTTTTTCAGAGAGTGGTGGTCCTCTTCCTTCATCACTGTGATACACCGGGAGAACCTATAGATGATGACTACATCTAGATACCACAAAGTACTCTCGTCAGTCACATCCAGAGGGATACCAGCACTTATCAGTGGTATTACAGCACTGCCCGAGCTCCTGACTGTGAAAACATTTGGCTTTATGTGAAAATAAAGCAATGTTTAAGGGCACTGAGGGTGCTGTTAAACTTGGACTGGACAGCAAACCTGGCCAAAACTCAACATGTTAAAGGCACTTGGCAAAAACTCTTCCAGAAAATGCACACTGATTGAAGGCTTAATCGGTTTCCACCCCAGGGAAAATGAATTGGATAATCATTTGGAACATTGGGATGAGGTTCATTACCCATAACTGGTGCTTCTTGTTATTTGATCAGAATCTTTAAAGCATGTACAAAAGCCCTGACATACGTAAACGTATCAAATAAAAGTTGAGTTAAAAAAAAAAAAACTGGTGGAAGTGAGAACTCGCAGGGTAAATTCAGCATAACTTACATTTTCAATAAATGAATGACAGCACTGGCTTTCAACATGAGCTGTTAGGACCTGAGACCTACCTCTGATGACTACATCAGTCACTCATGTTTTCAGCTGCTTTTCCTGTTTGTGCTCCAACACCACCACAAATTGAAGCCTTCAAAATGATTCTGCAGTTGAATCAACACCTACAGATGGAGATGCTCCTATCTGTAAAATATTTCTGGGTCAACCCATAACTTCTTGTGTAAAAGGAGTTCCAACATGAACCGTCAAAGCCTTTTTTTTGTGCTGGACTTGTGAAGGGACAAGATAATTGGTTGGCTTATAAAGGATTTGGGTTGAGAAAGATGAACAGCTTAGTTGAAACAAATTTGAATTTAAAATTGTGCAGATTGAACGGACCAAATATTAGTATGGCCTTGTTTGTGTATTGCCAACTGTATAGATGTCATGGATGAAAATATGCTTTCATTGTGCTTATGTGTTTCAGGAAAGAGTATTTATACTAAAAAATAAAGTAATGGAAAATCAGTTTGAATTTACTACTCTAATTTCATTTTATTTTTTTAAATAAAGAAGGTGTACAAAAGACATCAAGATTTATCCTCTGACATTACAGTTGTTTTTACTGCTATTGTAACAGGCGCTGGGTGTGTAATGTACCGTCATGCTGCTCTGGTTCTGTTATATGCTGATATGGCAAGATAGCTTTTGAAACACTTCACCTCGTGGTAGCTCTGCTCCATAAGCATCTTTATTCTTGTTTCCTTGTTCCTCCTTATTTCCTGACTGAAATGTTATTGCGAGTTTCCATGTCAGACAGTATAAACGTGCTTTGTGCACAATGTTCATGTACTAATGGAGCTGAAAGAAAAGCAGAGTGAAGTAGCAGGTCTCTAAAAGCTGTAGAGACAAAGCCAGTCTAGCTGTATACACTGTTCTAATTCTGGCTGAGCCAGTCTCTGCTCTTCCTGCTTTGACAAGTTGGAGTACAGCAAGACAGATTTGCACCCTCAGTTTCTGTCACACACACACACACACACACACTCTCTGGTCTATTCAGTTTTCAGGATGCTCACTGACAGAATATGTTCTTTATCCACTTACCCCAACCTTAACCTTACAACTAAGTACTACCATTGCTCTCAATCAGCAAATGTCCTAACAAGAATGCTATCGATGCGTCAACTTGTCTGTTTGTACAGTATATTACTCGCCCGCTACATGTAGAAGCAGTCTCCTTGTGATGCCAAAAATGTCCATTTAATTTTTTCCACACAGCCATAAAATGGTATTTACACACACAGTGTTTGGATGAATTGGATCCGTCTGCTGCTGTCAGTAAATGTAAACAGAGTGAAACTGCCCGCAGCCTTCTGTCAGCCTGCACAGCCTCCTGCTACTCCCTTGGACTTCCTGTGACACAAAGACCTTCTGTTAGGTCCTGACACTGTTTCTACACAACATGGGTTCTCATCTGACACTTACAAAGCATTGGTCATAGGATCAGTTATGTAAGAGTCAGTGTCATGTGGATTAAAGGAATGGCGGGTAGCGTTCAGAGGTCTGATGTTAGCACCTTAGCTTTGGTTAGATGCTCACAAAGCCAAATCAGTGTAAACCACTACTCATGGAAGCACATTGCTTTATCTTCAGTTATGCTTTATTTGCCAGGACAAATGTTTCAAAGTGTCACCTGTATACTATCCAGAGAGGAAGCTCTGCCAGGAAGCAGAAGTCAGTCTGTTTAATGTTCTCCTAAAATAATTTCAAATGCTGCTTTTCCCATCACTCATACATTGTGCAGATCCTTAAGAAGTTGTACCATTTCACTTTGTATGTAGCAGATGAGTTGATGTTTGCTTAGTTTATGGACCCATGTGGGCTTATTGTTTTTGGTATATAGTAAAAGATAGCTAATGTAAGTTAATGTGTGTGTCTGTGTGTGGGTGATTTCACATTAGCGACCCAGGCCTGGATCTGAGTACAGTCTGAGTACCCCAAAGTCCGGTTTGCTTTGATCAATTGGAACACAAGTGTACCGGATTCAGGCACAGTCCACAGGAGATGTGAACGCAACTGTGCTCAACAAGGAAGTGGACTGCTCACTGATGTCATAACTATTCATCTCTGTTGGTTTATACATTAACAAACATGGCTATGAAAGAATCTCTGTGGTTTAATGAAAACGTAAAATGCTTGCTTGAAATCTGGGCCGACAAAAACATAGAAAGGCTGGGAAAGGATACTGATTGTGTTTCAAAAATAATAAAAGTATCCACAGTAACAGGACTGACCCCATTGTCCACATGAAACAGAGACAAACGTCACTCAGTTGATGTCACAAGTGGTTGCCTCTTCTTCTTTCTTCTTCATGGTGGAGTGCAAGCCAACTCCATGCATACTGTCGCCTATTGTACATATGCAAGTGTGCTGGGGCACAGAATGGTGTTATTAATGTGAAAGCAGACCTGCAGAGGAGAGGGGAGCAATTGTGCTAAGGCATGGTATGAAACAATCATGCCTAATGTGAAAACACACACACTCTCTCTCTCTCTCTCTCTCTGTGTGTGCATATTTTTACATTAGGATTAGAGTAAGGGTGGGGTTAGACATTTAAGGGTTAAGGGGTTAGGTAAGGTGCTACAGAATGTATTATGGCAATGAGTGTCCTCACAAAGATAGAAGTACAAACATGTATATGTGAATGTCCATGCTTGGTTGCCATCACTAATAGCCCAGTCTTGTCAGCTGCTGTAAACAGTGAACCATCTCCAAACATTACCTTAATAAGACACAAGAGACAGGACAGACAGAGAGGAGTCTGAAGCTTCTGACCACCCGCTCCACCCTCTAACAGATACACACACACATTGTATTGCTATCCTTTTGAGGACACTAGCTGACATAATACATTCCATAGCCCCTTAACCTAACCTTAACCATTAGAACTAAATGCCCACTGCCAACCCTTCCGCTAGCCCTAACCTAAACCTAATTCTAACCTGAACCCGGTGAAAAGCAAGTTTTAACTGAATGCTATTGAACAATCAGTTTACTAAATGTAGATTATAAAATTCTTACAAAGGCCCTCACACTCTGGCTCAAAAAGGTGACACCCACCATTATACACACAGATCAGACAGGTTTTATAGCAAACAGGCAGTCATTTTTAATGTTCACCATTTGTTCAACATATGTAGTCTGACCACTCAACTAACTCACCTGATGTTATTATCTCACTTGATGCCAAAAAAAGCTCTTGATTGTGTTGAATGGAGATATTTGCTTGTGGCTCTAGACAAATTTGGCTTTGGCCTGTACTTTGTTTCCTGGGTTAAGATCTTACATTTGTCACTGGTGGCATCAGTTTGCATGAACATTATCAAATCAGAATACTTTCCACTTCACAGAGGAACCCAACATGGCTGCCCCCTCAGCCCTCTGCTGCGCGACCTTGCAAATGAACCCCTTGCCATCCTCCTAAGATCCGTGATGGAGGTCAAAGGAATTTGTAGGCATGACATCGCTCACAAATTATTATTATATGCAGACAATCTCCTTTTACACATTGTGAACCCAGACTGTGAAAATGTAAGGCATATCTTCAAAGCTTGGACAGGGGCTTTGCCCTGCCAGAATTTCTATAATATTATTGGTTAGTGAACATTTCCAAACTGTCTGCCTGGCTCTCTACATTTAGGGATGGTTTGGGCCCTGTCTGGTTCACCAGGCAACTTAAATTTAAGTTTGTCCATCTCACCAATTTCCTTGATCTGTTCCCCCTTGCCTGTGCATGGGAATAGCCATTTCAAAAACCCTGTGGTTAAGAACACTCTCAGCAACTGGGTCCAGTGTTGGCACCATTTTGGCTTTAACCAAGCACCCAGTCTTGCTCCCATTACATTGAGCCCTTTATTCATGGCCCAGATACACCAAAAATTCAAATTTTGGCACGGAAAGGGCACAGTTTATTTCAAGGATTTTTTCTTAAATATTTCATTTCTTTCGATGCCAGTTTTTTTCAGATATTTACAGGTTCAAAGCTTCACCATGAAACACTACACAGTGTTTCCCCTGCTCCCACATAAATGCCCTCTCGAAGATTGTTTACAGTCCAGCTCAAAGGACAAATTTTGAGAATGTATGATTTGATGCAGCACATAAATTTTCCAACACTGGCCAGGACAAAAGGCGCTTGAGAACAAGATCCAGATGTCCATCCCTGACGACATCTGGATTCTCACCAGTGATCAAAATAAGACCACAGATATTTTTCAAAAACTTTATTTATTCCCTGTCACATACCTCAGTCCATTCCTTTCTTTTGTTTTGCACGCCAATACATGGATTGCTGAGTATGCACTGCAGTGCACCAGCTATGACGTGCATGCATGTACACCATGGTGTACGAACCCTGACCACTGTACCTCATCTTGTATTTTGCTTTGATATTCTGGGTTAGTAGAATAAATCAATTATTTTCCCATTATTATCAGTCTAAATTAGTCCACTGCCAAATATAGAAGCTTGTTATAACTAGAATGTTTTATTTTACTGGGGCACAGCAGATCAAGACTGGGACATGTGCCCCACTACTAAAAGGGGTCTAACACTGCCCATGGCTGGGAATGAATGCACATCTACTGTATGTAGGGATCTGGTAAGTCAGAAAAACAAGGGTGTGTTTGTGTGTATGTGTGGCCTGGTATTAATCCCCACATTATGGGGACTTAACCTTCTTATGGGGACAAAAAGCAAGTCCCCAAATCATAAATTATTACATTTTAGAGGGATGACTTGGTTTAAGGTTAGGATAACCCCTAATTCACACTGAGCACATTTTTATATACATTTTCTATGCAAATCCAGTTTCATTCTATTAAATGTGTCAATTCACACAGACTGATAAATGCACATAAGACACATGTAACCCAGTAACCCCCTGTTTTTATTTTCACTCTTCGGGTCTATTTTTTCCATTCCACTGCATTTAGTGAAGCACAGTCTCCACACACTGCCGTATATTTGTGCTGTTGGTCAGCCTGGTGAAAACTTCTGTCCTGCTGACAGTCCTGCTCATACTCATACTTGCATGAGTACTCATGCGAGCATGTATGTATGTCATGTATGTATGACTATGTTTTCATTTGGGGGCCCTGTCTGCATGTGCATGTGCAACCGTGAATGTTTAGAAATTAATATTTATGTGGAAATAATGTATATTGTCATACATAAAATGAAACTATTGTTAAAATTCTATCTAGTTTTTCACATGCTACAGGTTTAGATGTTTTTATAAATTATTGCTCAGATTTGTATTAACATTAGAACATAAACGTGATTGTGTTACGATCTACAATCTCATTCACAATGTTTAACTTTTCAGAACCAAATACACATTATTATTATTACAATATGAATAACTCACAACATGATAAGATGCCTTTGTGGTTTACATCTGAAGACTTGTAACCACCCCCCTTTCCTGGCTCCGTGGGCCTGGTAGGTCCAACATGGAAAGGGACCTG